CGTTTGAGGATATATCGTTATTATCGTTACACTATTTCGAAAAAATTAAAATATAATTAATATAATTTTGTTAAAACAAAATTTAATTTATTCTTTGAGTTTTAACACTCAACGTCAACACTGAACACAGCACATTAGTACAGTTCTCTACGTCGAGTGTCTCTCCATGTAATTTGGGTACTTTGTTTTCAATGCATTATTTTTAAAATAAGATTAATTTAAAGAATTTATTGCTAAAAAATGGGGAAGACTAAAAATAAATTGAATAGTGTGAGCCAAAATAGAAAAATTAAAGAATACAAGTTATTAAAATTAGTTGCAAATGACAAAAATCAAAAGAAATTGTGTTTTAATTCATCTGTACCGGCTGGTCCAGCTGTACCATCAGTGAGTAATGCATTTTCTTATACAGTACAGTGTTCGTCTAACTCTAAAAACGTTGATCATGACGAGTTCTTAAATCATGAAAATCAAATGGAAGAAWAAAAAATAATCAATGAGACATCTGTATCAAATGTAGATTATATTTATAAATTTATTAATATTATAGTTATTGTACTGGAAATGAGAGTAAGCATAAAAATGTATAACTGAGGTATAATGTGAGTATTGCTCTTAGATAGCTGGTACCTATATCTTTGTATTTTTATTTAGTCATATATCTATTACCTTCATACATCGCAATAGCTAAAATCAGATTTATGGTATTTTTAAGGTAATTAAATATAACACTTGAATGTTTAATAACAGACTATCAATTTATTTTTACAAAACAACCGTAGAACTTTGTAATCTAATATTGTACAATTTTATTTGAATGTTTGTTGTAATTTGGTAAGTCCCTATTTAGGTTTTTAACGTATTTTCAATATTTTATAAATAACCTATAAGTTTTCAATTTGCMCTAAAAAATKTTGTTATTTGCCCTTAAAATTATTTAGCATCCCGTGCCCTTTTTTASYAGTCCGCGCCTGATGGTAGCTATCAATACAAACAGTATATTTTCAATTTAAAGTTATAACATGTAAATAATATGTTAGGTACTGAAATATTTAGTGGCACATTGCACATAATACAATTTATCATATAATAAGTAGGTAATAAACTAATAATGTAC